GGGATCACCCAAAATGTGGGATTTTCCTGCACTTTCAGTGATTTCAGGAAACAGGATGAATAGAGAGTGTAAACCTACCTAATTGTGACACAAACCAAAATAAAAACTGACAGAGTTGCCTTTAGCTGTACTTTCATGTATTTTTACACAGCCTATAATCCTATAACCCTTGTTGTGCATTTCTCTACATCACCTGATTTCACTTTGATTATACATTCTATACTTTGCTTTATTCTGTACATTGTGCTGTAAATAGGGGGTTCTGGGAGGTAGGGAGTGGGCAGAGACAAGGGTGGCCCATGAGGGAGGGTGAACATCTGCACCTATTCTCTGACTGAAAAAATGCATGGTTAGAGGTAGGCAGGGCTGGTGCTAGACTATTTTGCGCAAGACCAGCTACTTGCGCCCCCCCCCCCCCCAAAAATACATTAAAAAAAAACAATAGAAATTATTAAATTGACAAATCATGAAACTTGCTAAATTTATTTTAATTTGCAAACATAAGTGCAATAGGATGCCACCAGCACTAATATTTATGACAAAATCAGTGCCACAGATGGACTGTATCTGTGGCTGGCAGTGGCAGGGTGACAGTTGCAGTGAGTGGAGGATGATGGATCAATCCCAAACTGGAATTCCCCAGGCAATAGGGGGAGATAAAACATTATGACATCAGGCAGCCCAGCCTACTCACAAAGAGAGAACACCTGAATTGAGCAATCCCACACAGTGGCAGATTTCACACAACACACCACCAACACTGACACAGATCAGCAGGCCCAGCAGGCACTAGAAGAGCAGACTGTGGGATTGTGATGATGTCATCATTCACTGACACATTGCATATGTGATGGGTGACCGGCCGGCTTGGTCACATTCACACAGACACAAGACAGAGTCAGACATTACTTTCCTCTGCAGGCACAGCTCCACCTCCACTGATGAATGGGAAGAGAAGGTCTGGAACTCCACAGTGATCAGCAGCCACCAGCCGGCTTGCAGTAAGGGACCTGAGAGGAACATTGGAAAGAGTGGCAGCTCAGCTGCTACACTGGCCCCAGACACCCGACATCTTCCTCTGTCCTTTCTTCCTACCCTCTGCCGCTCCTCCCCTCAGCTAAAGGCTCATTCATGACGTGGCAACATCCCACACAGAGAAAGTGCCGGCCTGTGCTGTGCCCAGGCGCCTTTAGGTGGCAGTGCATCCTAGGTGGCTGCTTAGTTTGCCTAGTGGAAGCACCGGCCCTGGAGGTAGGTTGCCCCAATCAGTTCAATCAAATTTGCAATATGAAAGCTCTGATTGAATATTGGAAATAAAAAATAAAAAACGCTGCGTGCATGGCTAGCATAATACTAACAGTAACCCTTTCCGCAAATTAAAATAAAAAGGGCAATGAACCCATGTTTGCAGCTTTAAAATCCATAAGGAGTATGATTACCTGGATAAGATGGATAAATGGGGTGATGTGAGGTGCAGTATTGAGAGCTCTTTTAAACTAACACCTAGAAACAAGGAAACAATTTTCCAGGTTTTAAAACAGGACCTGGGCAGCAGGGGGTTAATTTGCAATTGTGTAATAATGCAAAGTCTTTATTGGTAAGCTGAGATGAAAAAAGGTCTGTGTATTTATTGAATATTGTACATGTATTAAGAGCAGTAACTAGGTACTCCTAATTATGTATATCATAATGTCATTATTGCAAATTTAAGTAAATCTCTGCTAAGAAAATACATTGTAATTACTTAGCTTACTTTTTGAAAATACTTACTGCTGGGATCTTATGTGGACTCACTAGCTGCATGCCTGTTTTGGGTCAGTGATAAGGAAAATATTGTGGCCAGAAACAGTCAGGGAATTAGTGTTTTTCCAAGGAGGTCATCAGTTTTAGCCTCTCATTACAGGTACCTTTAAACTGTGACCCTAATAGCCTGATTTTCTGCTGCCTTGTGGATTCATGATTCTTTGCAATCAATGTTATTCTGCATTTTCTTCAGGAATCAATGTATAAGATGCATACATTCAGTAAGTCCCTTGGCTTGTCACTACATATATGCGAAAATCTTGGTCAGTAAACAAGACTAGCTCCTTGGGAGTTAACAGCAGAATGAGGCGGCCTATGGCCCCATGCAGAGATGCTGGAATCCACATGTGTCCTCAGAGTGACGCACACAGCAAGTGCTCAGCTCCAATCCGGCAGCCCTGAGGCAGATACAGAGTGAGTCAACGGGCCATCTTCCCAGGGGACTTGTTTGGTGCCAAGCTTTAGATTGTTAGTCGTCTCCTTGCCAACGCCTGATAGCACAGCAGTGCATTGCATGTCATTTGGACAAACGGCTGAGGAAATAATCACTTGGCAGGACCCTGCATGGATCTGGACAAAGAGCAAGTCCTCATTACTTTCTATCCTTGTGACTAAGGAAAGTCATGCTCAGTCACCATTCCATGGAAACACTAACCCCATACAGCGATGCAAAGCTCAGCAGGGAAGGTCTTGTGATCACAAAGTCAAAGCCCGCTTGAAGAGGAAATGTGATAAATAGGACCCTTGAACCTAAACAAGTGTCAGGCAAGGATGCAGGTGACCAAGGGATAAACAAATAATCATGATCAGTCTTGCAGGCAATATAGTAGATCACTCAGACCACCATGATGTACAGCCTGCTGATTTGTTCTAATTTTTCATTTTAAATACAGCTTGTTACATGACACCATAATGGGGATGGATTTTACATTCACTACAAAGTTATCATGTATAATGGTCAGCCCACGCAAAAGTGACATTGTAGTTATAGGTGGAGCCTGATGAGTTGAGTTTCCATCTGGCTCTTTATATGTCGTGGGTCGTGGGTCATCCAAAAGCAACATCTCCCTACTATAATTCCTAATTCTGTTCCAGCCCACCTATAAGGTCATTACATTAGGTTAAACCACATTACACTTTCATCAGTGTTCATAAACTTTATTGAGTCAAGTGGAAAAGAAAACCCAACCATGATGAATCTCTTTAATTAAAGTGGTTGTAAAGGCTGAAGGTATTTTACATGCATTTCTATGCATGAAGGAGTTGCAAAGATTTTGGGTTCCCCTATAGCCCTGCAAGGCCAGGCAACACGCATCTTCACACAGGCCTGCATCCAGGAGTCAGAGATCAGTCCTTGAGATTTGTTTTTGTAATTTTTATTAGGAGATTTGAACTGGGATAGGGTTAGGGGTGTACAGGATGCCTGATAGAACTGATGGACTGAGGACAACATCCTGGAACTATTTACAAGCCTCCACTGCAGCACAGTCTCGGTTGGAGAGCTAGTTAGCATCTCCTAGTGTACTACCCCAGACCCCAGATGACTCCTCTGCTAATCCAGCTGTACTAGGTGAATTCCTGGGCAGGGGATCCAGTGCCTGACACCAAAGGGTGAAACAGTCCCGGGTAAGATAGCAAATCCAGTTCTCTACTAAAGTTCTTCGCCCTTACAGGCCCAGGGGATGTAGGTTTACTCACTTGGTCCCTCTCTTGTGCTGCCGGTGGGTCAGTGGCTGCTACCAGGCCTTCTAGCTGGACCGCTCCTTACCCGCCACACAGGTGGTACTCTCTCAGGAGTCCCAAGTTTTTGACCTTTCCAAGATCCTCTGCCTGCAGGAGAGCCCCTCTCCCATCTGGGCCCCCTCACAGGCTCCTGCCTCCAGCCTCACGTCCTTCTCTCTCCCTTCCACCCAAACTCTCCTGCAGCTGAGCAGGCTCAATCACTTTTAAGGGCTGTCCTGGCCCCTTGCCAAGGCTCCTGTTGGGGACTGGTCGGGATCGCTTAAGAGTACAAGCCAGCCACTCCTCAGATCCACCCACTGCTTCTAGAGATTTCTCCAAAATCTCTAGAGTAGGAGGAATTTCCAGAGGGGCTGGCCTGCAGATCTTCCCAGCCCTGACCACAATTTGACCTCCTGAATATTGCACCCAGGCTGCTACTCGGCCCTCTTCTCTAACAATCAGGAGTCTAGCTCCCCCTTACTAACTAGGAGGGCTACAAAGGTAAAAAACCTTCAGTGTGCAGCTGCTCCCTCAGCCCCCTCTAATACTTTCTGAGCCCGATCTCGATCCAGCGTTGTGCATAAGAGTAGCTGCTCTCCCCAGTCTCTCCCTCCTCATTAGCTGAGACACAACATCGGGAGCCATTGGTGCCTGCTGATGTCAATCACAGCCAGTGAGGAGGGAGCAGGAGGCAGGGCCAAGCTGCATTCAGTGTGTCCTATGGACACAGAAGCAGCCCAAGAGCAAGCATGCACAAGAGGAGAGGGGCCAGGAGCACCGGCAGGGGACCTGAGAAGAGGTTGATTGGGGCTGCGTTGTGCAAAACTATTGCACAGAGCAGGTAAGTATGAGGTGTTTGTTTTTTTTTTTAAAGGTGAAACTTTAGTATCACTTTAACCACTTGCCTACCAGGCACTTATACCCCCTTATTTACCAGGCCAATTTTCAGCTTTCAGCGCTGCCGCACTTTGATTGACAATTGCGCGGTCATGCAACATTGTACCCATATGAAATTTTGATCATTTTTTTCTCACAAATAGAGCTTTCTTTTGGTGGTATTTAATCGCCACTGGGCGCTTTACTTTTTGCGCTATAAATTAAAAAAGTGCAAAAAATTTGAAAAAAAAAAAAAAGTTTCTTTGTTTCTATTATAAAATTTTTCAAACAGGTATTTTTTCTCCTTCACTGATGTGCGTTGATGAGGCAGCACTGATGGGCACTGATAGGCGGCACTGATGGGCACTGATAGGCAGCTATAAAGGGCACTGATAGGCAGCACTAATGAGGTGGCACGGATAGGCGGCACTGATAGACAGCACTAATGAGGTGTGTCACGGATAGGCAGCACTAATATGCAGCACTGATAGGCGGCACTGATAGGTGACACTGATGATGGGTACTGATAGACGGCACTGACTGGCATCACTGCTGGGCACTGACTAACGGCACTGACTGGCACAACCCCTGGGCACTGACTGGTGGCACTGACTGGCAGCACTGCTGGGCTGCACTGGTGGGTGGCACTGGTGGGCAGCACTGGTGGGTGGGCACAGGTGGGTGGCACTGGTGGACACAGGTGGGTGGGCACAGGTGAGTGGCACTGCTGGGCACAGGTAGGTGGCACTTCTGGGCACAGGTGTGTGACACTGCAGAGTGGCACAGGTGGGTGCACTGCTGGGCACAGGTGGGTGCACTGCTGGGCACAGGTGGGTGATCTGCTGGGCACAGGTGGGCGGAGCTAGTGGGCGCACATCTGGGCACAGGTGGGCGGAACTTGCGGGTGGCACTGCTGGGCACCGATCATCAGAGCACTGATAATCAGTGCCCTGATGATCGGTGCCGATCCCCGCTCTGACAACTGCTGGTTCTCGGCAGTACTTTCCTCACGATCTGACAGCGTGAGGAAAGTGCAGCCGAGAACCGGCACTTGCATTTCCCTCTGATCAGCGTGTCATTGGACACCGCTGATCAGGTGGTAAAAGGCCGCTGTGATTGGCCTTTTACCACATCACGTGATCAGCTGTGTCCGTAGGACACAGCGATCACGGAGATCGCCGGGTGCGCGCCCCCTGGGGCGCGCAGGAGAGCGCGTTCTGGGAGGACGTCATATGACGTCCACTCAGAACTGGCTGGCCGCAGTGAAGCCGTCATTCGGCTATCTGCGGTCGGCTACTAGTTAAGCTCTGCTAAACGATAAAATGCATCAGAGCAGATGAACCTGGCAGAGTTATTTCTTTCACTTGCTCTGAAGTTTTGCGTATTATTTAAATCAATCCTCTACTCTGCGCTAAAAAAATATATATATATATATATATATATATATATATATATATATATATATAGTCATGGCCAAAAATATTTCTGTCAGATAATGCACCACTTCAGCCGTAAAATTGTTGCAATTACAGACGTTTAGGCATTTTTTTGTTTACTTAATTTGTTTGTATTGGTATGACACAAAAAAGTAGAGAAAAGAAAATCCACATCTGACACATTCCATGCAAAACCCCAAAAATGGACTGGACAAAATTATTGCCATTCTCAATTTATTATTTGGTAGCACACCCCTTGGAAAAAATAACTGAAATCAATCAATTCCTGTAACCATTACTGAGTTTCTTACACCTCTCTACTGGGATTTTGGACCACTCTTCTTTCGCCAACTGCTGCAAGTCTCTCAGACTGGAAGAGTTTCTTTTCCCAACTGCTGTTTCAAGATCTCTCCACGGGTGCTCTATGGGATTTAGATATGGACTCATTGCTGGCCAGTTCAGTATTCTATAGCGCTTTGTCTTAAACCATTTCTGTGTGCTTTTTGATGTGTGCTTTGGGTCAGTGTCCTGCTGTAAGACCCATGACCTCTGATGGAGACCCAACTTTCTGACACTGGGCCCTACATTAAACCCCAGAATACTTTGGTAGTCTTCAGATCTCATAATGCCATGCACACGGTCAAGACATCCAGTGCCTGAAGCAGCAAAGCAACATCAAAACATCAGTGAACCTCCACTATGTTTGACTGTAGAGACTATATTCTTTTCTTTAACCACCTTCCGCCCACCCTATAGTACAATGACGGGCACAAGGTGGTTCTCTTGTTCTGATAGGACGTCATATGACGTCCTAACATTCTCACTGCGCATGCGCGGCTCAGGTAGCGTGCAGTGCGGCGATCGCCGGTCCGCTGTGTCCCTCAGACACAGCGGATCACTGAAAGAGCCGAAGATGTCGGCTCGGTCATGTGATAAGCTGTGTCCAATCACAGCTGATCACATGTAAACACGGAAATGCCGGTTATCGGCATTTCTCTCCTCTCGAGCTGTCACGCTGACAGTACCACCTGTCAGTGCTCATCAATGCCACGTGCCAGTGCCATCAGTGCCCACGTGCCAGTGCCCATCAGTGCCACATCAATGCCACATATCAGTGCATACCAGTGCACATCAATGCCACATATCAGTGCCCATCTGAGCTGCCTTTCAATGTCACCCATCAGTGCCAGTCAGTGCCACCTATAAATGCCAATCAGTGCCACCTATCTGTGCTGCCAATCAGTGCCGCCTATCAGTGCCAGTCAGTGTCGCCTATCAGTGCCAGTCAGTGCCGCCTATCAGTGCCAGTCAGTGCCACCTATCAGTGCCAGTTAGTGCCGCCTATCAGTGCCATATATCAGTGTCATGTATCAGTGCTGCCTTTCAGTGCCCATCAGTGATGCCTGTCAATGCCCATCAGTTCCACCTACCAGTGCCTCCTCATCAGTGCCCATCAGTGCCACCTATCAGTGTCCAGTGCTGCCTATCAGTGCCCATCAATGCAGCCTCATTAGTGCAAATCCGTGAAGGAGAAAAATCACTTATTTACAAAATTGTATAACAAAAACTAAGAAAAAAAATTTTTTTCCCAAAATTTTCAGTGGTTTTTGGTTTGTTTAAGAAAAAGTAAAAATCCCAGAGGTGACTAAATACCACCAAAAGAAAGCTCTATCTGTCTCAAAAAAATGATAAAAAATGTCATATGGGTACAATTTTGCATGACCGCGCAATTGTCATTCAAATTGTGACAGCGCTGAAAGCTGGAAATTGGCCTGGGCAGGAAGGGGGTAAAAGTGCCCTGTAGGCTAGTGGTTAAAGGACTCATTGCTTTATCTGAAAACAGTAAAATGATGGGCTTTACCAAAAAGCTGTAATTTTGTTTCATCTGTCCACAACACATTCTTCTAAAAGGATTTTGGCTTCCTCAGCTATGTTTTGGCAATCTCCAATTTGGCTTTTTATGTTTCTGTGTCAGCAGTGGGGTCCTCCTGGGACCTCCTTCCTTGCCATCTTTGGTCAATTTTTTTCTTTTGTCCACATCAAGAAAGATTATCTACAGTGTCATGGGCTGTAAACTTCTTGACATTGTCTAAAATTACGGTATCCCATAAATAAAGTCTACATCCAGAAATATACCCAATAACATAAATAAACACCTTCACCCCTAAAAGTGTATCAATCTGTAAATAATCATATGCTACCTATACCATATCTAAATCCCCAAATCTTGAAAGAAATTTATGAAAAAAAGTTGAAAATCAAGAATTCATAAAAATATCAAAAAAAGTCCAAATACAAATCAGTGCATAAAACATATAATTGTGTCCTTCAAAAAATGATACAGTCACAAAGTGGTAATTCAAAAAATCCTGGTGTTTAAGCCTTCCAAGTGGCTCCCAGGAACAAAGTAAACCTCAAAAGAAAAGAAAATTTTTACAGTGTGTTATCCCTGATAAACCATTATAAGCATACACTATGTAAAAACCGTGTAAGAAAACACACGTGACCACTGACAGTGAAAAAAGTGAATTGATGTGTCAACCGTGACAGTGAATCACTCAAGTGCAAAAAAAGCATCCAGCAGCAAGTGTCAATATCTGTGCACACTTCTATTGTGTAAGGAGTGAATACCCTTACCAAATAAAATTAATAATCACACCTTTTAAACCATCAGGATAAGATACAATTCCAAAGAATACACTCCACCGAGGAGATCTTTTCAGGATGTCATCACAGCCTTATGGATAAATCTCCCTGATGTCATCTGGGTAAAGCAGGTCTGCATACTCCTTACTCCTTCTAATACCAAGCTCCACCGATGCACACCATATATGGAACAAAATATAGTGTAATACACCATTTAAACCATACTTTATTAATGTGCTTACATTATCTCAACTTTAAAAACGCCATTTTACAACATTTCAAACCTCTGGGAATGTCCTGGTATCATCCACAAGTGTTAGAAAGGATTTGCCAGTAACCAAGATGGCCGCTCTGTCACTAGCGGTTCCGTTATCCTTTCAGATGGGTTTAAATTCCCCAAAGATTGTTTAAAGCTTTCTCTGACAGGCCTGCACTGCCAGAATGGTGCTCCAGCAATATATAGCTCATTTAGAGGCTGTACAGGAAGGACTTCCACCCAGGAGAGGCTGAATCTGATTGAGGCGACAAACGGCAAGCGATACCTCGCGACTCCGGTCCTGATCAGGTGAGGACAAAAAGGAGAATGATTTCTATGGAAATGTATGTCAATTTTATTTTCTTTTGAGGTTTACTTTGTTCGTGGGAGCCACTTGGAAGGCTTAAACACCAGGATTTTTGGAATTACCACTTTGTGACTGTATCATTTTTTGAAGGACACAATTATATGTTTTATGCACTGATTTGGACACTTTTTTTTGATAGTTTTATGAAATCTTGATTTCAAATTTTTTTTTTCTATAAATTTCTTTCAATATTTGGGGATTTAGATATGGTATAGGTAGCATATGATTATTAACAACTTCTTGACATTATTGGACACAGGAACATGAAGATCTCTGGAGATGGACTTGTAACCTGGAGATTGTCCATGCTTTTCCACAATTTTTGTTCTCAAATCCTCAGCCAATTCTTTGCTACTCTTTTCTCTTCTCCATGCTCCATGAGGCACACAGACACACAACAGAAAGGTTGAATCAATTTTTCACCATTTTAACTGGTTGCCGGTGTGATATCTATATTGTCAGAAACTGTTATTGATGCAGGTGAGTTTAATTACAAATTACAGGAGCATCACAAACTAGGAATGCAATTATTTCTTACAAATTTTGAGAGGGTGCCAATAATTTTGGCCAGTCCATTTTTGGAGTCTTACATGGAATGTGTCAGGTTTGGCTTTTTTGTTTCTCCTCTTTTTGTGTCATACCAAGACAAACAAAAGAAATAAACATGAGAGTGGCTAAACATTTGTAATTGCAACAATTTTCTGGGTGAAGTGTTGCATTATCTGCTAGAAATGCAGGGATGCCAATATTTTTGCATATATATATATATATATATATATATATATATATATATATATATAATTAGTAACTATCCCCATAGCTGTATTATACACCAATCTTACAGAACAAAACATGAGGGTACTATCAAAATCACATAAATCTACTTTGCAGCACTGCAAAGTAGATATATGTGATTCTGATAATAGCTACACGTTTTCTTATGTAAGTTTTATCTATTCTTTTACCTGTCACAAGGGAGTAGAAATGAGAGTTGGAGTTTAAAACTTAGTGTTAAAACCAGTTTTGTGAATTTGAGAAATCTAAAATTGTGTGTTTGAGTTTTCTAGTTTTTAATTTTTCATAAAATAAACTAAAAATCAAGCAGGAAAAGTGGTAATGTACTTGTGACAGACCCAACCAGGACAGGGGCTTTTGGAGGCGACTGCAGGCTAGTCTCTTGCCTACTGTCCCAACAGTGAGGAAGGAGTTCTTTGACGGAGGCACTCAAGCTCAGTGCCCGACAGTCCGTCACAGCACTCATAATGACATCATATGTACTGACCCAGAACCTCATGCAGATATCCAACCATCTGAGTTATAGGCAGTTAAACTCACCAGAATCTGCCACAAAATTGTTTTGGGTGGACTGACTATTTAAAGTGTATGTGTAGCCCAAATTTGTTTCACTTTTGTCAAAAAGTTAAGTCTATTTTTTTGCTGTGTGTTTATATCTGGGGAGATATCCCTTTGCTTCCTTTCCGGGTGATGCAACAGAAAGTCAGAGGAAAACCACCAAAGTGAGGAAAAATTCCCTCTTAGACAGTTGTCCCCAGGACACATCTCCCGGTTGGAAGATTTCATCTTTTTTTTTGTTCTGTAAACAAATCTAAAATGTGGGATTTCCCCTCACTTTTTCTTTCTGTAACAATGGCCACCAGTACAAATAGAGGCGTGAGTCTCTCTCTAGTGGGGACACAGCGACCATTAAAAACTTGAAAGATTGTCTGTCCCTTCCCCACTGTTCCCCACTCTACCCAAACGAAAAACAAATTACCTACAGATACACTTTAATATTTACTGCTCTAAACTGGCAAAACCATTGATTTACTTTATAGGTTTTCACTTATGTTTTGTTTCATTCCATTTTTGCCCAACATGTGCAACATAATTGCTAAAGATTTGCCCATACCATGTTTCTGCATTAGCAAATTATCTATTAAGGTCTTGTTCATAGTTGTGAACTGAAGACCAGAGTTTTTTAAACTGCTGCATGCAGGAATTTGGAAGTACATCTCTGAACATACCACAGTATGTTAAGATGTAAACATCCCAATAACAAATACAGGAATCATTTTAACAGCACATTCCTAAATAGTAATACAACCAAACTAAAATATCAAAAAAGCCCTGTAATGTGTACTTTTTTTTTTTCTCAGAGTTAAACTTTAGCTTCAGAGATACCCGTTTGTACAATACGTTATCTTTTAAAAAGGAAAGCTTTCAAATTACTAGGACACAAAGTTAGATCAGCTTTGTGCAACATGTTGTTTTACAGGTATGTCCTCTTTCCTTTTTGGGGCTTTGGGGTGTTAAACTGTTGTCACTGGTAGGGTATTTGTCACTGGGGATTAACATTGGTGTAATGTAGCACATACTTCTCCTTAGTGGCCTGCCAGCGACCTCAACATGATCTGATGGTGTCTTCCTTAACAGCCTTCAATTTAATTCCATTCATTTTCACCCTTCTAGCCCTAAGGCTTACTAAAACAGGACTATAGATAGAAAAGCTATGCAGATTGGAAGATTTTAACAAGTCTTCCAAGAGTTCCCCAGCTAAGCAGTAAAGCAAAAAAAAAAGAAAAGACAGTATAACTGTAGGCAGACCACCCAAAGTCCACCCACTACATGCTTATATGCTAGCATGAAGTCAGCAGGGATGCAACGTACAAGCCAGTCTTCCAGTTTTCAATTCTGCCAATGGAACAATAAACAGGTAGTGACAGATTTTTCAAAACATTTCATCTTTAAACTGCACTGTGCAAAAGGTATACATGGCTCCTCCTCCTTTGGCATAGGAAAACCCTGTCTGATAACAGAGTATTATGCCTTGCACCCAACCAGGGAACAAAATCTGCACAAAAACAGTACAAACAGGCACACAGAAAACAGAGAATGAAGGAAATTTTGGAGTTAGCTTGGGGAACAACAAAATTATAGATGTGTCTGTGCCACATTTTGCTGATGTGAACACAGCCCTGTTAGCTAGCAAAACCATCCTTCCAAGCTAGGCTGCCTGCCAATTGCCAAATCCTGTCCGTAATAATGAAACCTGCCCCTAAAATTTCTCTAAATACAAGTTTCAGCTTGCATACATTTGCAATATATGAAAAAAAAAATGA